GTCTTTGACAGCCCGGCTCCTCCACCGCGGGTGTGGACCCGAGCTGGGACGAAAACCCGACGGACACCAGTGACCCTGCCGGACCGGGCCGGAGAACCTGGGGGGGGTGCTGGTGCAGAGGGGCGGAGTGCTTGGGATAAAAAGCAGAATAGACATCGCAAGCGATTATTCAAACGGTGTACCCCTGGAGCGGACAACAGCAGGGCTCCAGGCCCACAGTCCTCCTACAGAAATTTTGGGATTCCGAAACCGAGCACGTTATTGGAGCTTCTGGGGGGGAGATGTGCCTTGCTCAACCGTACTACAGCTGTGCCCCCCTCAGGATTTGAACCTGCAACCTTCACTTCTGAGCCATAAACGAGAATGAACCCCCCCCACTCCACAGCCACGGCAGTTGCTGCTCCAGGGGAAGGCCAAGGGTCGTGCGCTGGGATTTCTGTCCCCTCACAAAAGCCCAGATACCCCAACAGAGGCAATCGAGGTGCTGCACCGGGCACCCCAACAGAATTCCGGTGCAGCCCAGCTCCCCCTTTGTAGCGCCCCTATAGCGCCTGGGCTGCACCGGAATTATGTTGGGGTGCCCGGTGCAGCACAGCTCCCCCTTAGCCTTTCATTCCGTCTTCCCCACGTGCCCCCGCTGCACACAGTGAAAGAGAGGAGCCCGGCTGATAACACAAGGGGCGCTACAAAGCTGACGACACCCCACCACACGCGCCATTACAAAACGGACAACGCAGCACAGAACACGAACTAGAAATAACAGCAGCTCGTTACGAACCTCGTCTTGCCCGTGACACGTGTGCGTGTGTGCGTGTGTGGGAAAGAGGCAAGGAAAACGAGGTCAGGTCACACACAGACGCACGAACACACACACGCGGGACCGAGACGGGCTGCCTTTCCTCGCGAGCCGCCCCCTCCATGCCTGCTGGCGTTCAGCCTGCAGCCGGTGAGCTCAGGGGGCGCAGTGTTTCTGGGAATCCCTCGGGCTGACCCCCCCAGGGAAGGAGGCGGCACGGCACCCACCTCCGCCACTCTTTGAGTAAAGAAGAGCCCCGCCCTGACTACCCCGCCTGTGGCCTCTCTCTCTCCTGCGGTTTGCCTTCAGGTGTCACCAGTGGGCTTCTCCAGCTGGGCAGGCTTGGCCTGGAGGGGGGGCGTTAGTTGGCAACGTGGTGGGGCAGGACCCCCAGGGCTCGAGGTTACAGAGGAAACACGGTTCTTCCCAAACTTCCCCAGGGCAGGCCCTGCAGATTCTGCAGGAAGGGAATTCAAAGAAAGCAGGAAAACTGCTCTCCTCACCTGGAAGGAGGGGGGGTGGGGGAGGAGCAGAGCCCCCTTCATGCTGGGAAGTGATTTGGGGATCCTCTGGAACAAAAAGAACTGGACACACATTTTGGAATTTTTTTCAACATCAAGCGAAAAAACGTCTTTGTCACCTCTTACTCATTCTTGATCGGGAAGGGGCCTCCTGAGACGCACATCAGCCCACAGACAGACACCGAGACGTCACCCTGAACTCCTCTGCCCCAATCCCCACTGTGGAGAGCTATCGAAAGCCTACCAGCGGCAGGACTCCTGGCAGTACTTTGCAGGCTGTACACACTTATTTTCAATAAGAAGAGTTTACTGTAAGCCATGGCCTCAGACTACTGTAGAATAAATCATCTACTCACAGAGGAGGTTTCTGTCTGCATTTAATTTCCATGTGACTATCAATCACTTTTCCTTCCACTGTGCCAACTGCTCTGTGCCCACAGACATCATACGACCGAACGCACAGGCCATCACCCACACCCATCTTTACCTGACTGCCCGCACATGTGAAAGAGAACGTTGCAGCGATAACATCTCATCAGTTTTGGAATCAAAACCAGCCTCTGGGCCTTCCTTTTTCTGTTCTCATCCAGAAGCGGGCACCTCCTCTCTCCGGGCAGCGCAGGGCGCCAGTACAGTGCCATTGCACGAGTGAAGTGTTGGGGTAGACAGAAAGGGAGACCAGAGCCTGTTGTGACCGACCGCAGCTGGGCGGTGGGCTCTCCATCTGCTTAAGCCCCCTTTGGCCAAAGTTCATCTTCGTCAGGAGATCAGGGGCGACTAAGGGCACAGGACAACCCTGTGCCAAAACCCACGTCTGGTCCCACGCGCTGCAGGTCTCTGGGTCCCAGTGGCCGACTATCGCTGCGAGGATGACGATGGTGAGGACGGAGGAAGGCTAACACAAATGTGCCCCGGGCAGATTTGGACATCGGTTCCACTTTTTGGAGACGCTCCGGCCTGCCCACATCGAGGAACGAGCTCTAGGAAAAGTCTGGGAATGCAATAACAGGAGGCGCTGAAGCCGGCTGGCGGGTCTGGGCGGGAGTGAGAGAGAGGGGCTCTCCGACTCCCAGCGCTTTTCCAAGCCACAGGATGAACCGGCACCCGGGAGAGCGGTCCTCTTCGGGTCAGGGGCTGCTGGAAAGCGCGCCGGCCGAGGAGCAGGGAGAGGCCCGCAGAACTGGGAGACAGCAGCGCCAACTCTCGAGACCAACATGGTGGCCGACGTCGGGCTGGACCTCGGGGAGAGAGCCTCCGTCTCACCCCGCGTGGTGGAGGGACAGGGTTACAGATGCGCAGAGTCGTGTCCTCTCCAACGCTATCCCGGCCCTACCTCGCGCACGAGCCACTAACATAAAAAATACAGTCAAATAAAAATAAAATACAACCACGTTTAAAAAGGAGGGAACTGAGGAATAAAAACCCGATAAGAAAACGGAGTAAAGCAGATACCAGGCCGCAGATCTGTGTTTTTATCGTGTGCTGGACGTAGGAGGTATCGAGACCCCGGAGCAGCTCCCCCTGGGTGCAGTTCCACAGCCCGACCAGCAGGGGGCAGCGCAGCTCCCCAGCACGTTCCGGCAGTTCCCTTTGTGAAGCATCTCCTCCCCCCCCCCCCAGTAGGGAGGAGACGCTCAGTATTCCCCCTCTCCTGCTTCCTCCTCTCGGGGGAGCAGGGGGCTGGGCGGCGCGGAGAGGATCGGCGAAGGCTCGGCCTTTGGTGGGCATGTGTGTGCGCGTGCTTGCGTGTCTGTCCATCTCGGTGTGTGTGTGTGTGATTCTGTCTCGGTGCGTGCGTCTGTCCCGCGTGTCTATCCATCTGTCTCCAGACTATTTGTGGTTCCGTTGGGGATGCAGAGAGGAGTCATCAAAGAGAGGGTTCTTCACTTCCATCTCTCCAGTCTGAAACGGCACAGACATTACAGACGTGATTATTATTATTATTATTGTTGTTGTTGTTTCACTGCTCCTGCTGCAGCTCCTCACTCTGCCGACGGTTTCAGATTCTGGGTTTTGGCTCCATTCACTGACCCGAGGCAGAACTGGAACTACGCGAAACTCGATTGAAAACCGCCAGCGGGAGACAAGCCTGGAACATCCCGACACAGGGGGACTGTGGGAGTAAGGAACAATCTAGCCCACGGCCCGAGGTCTGCCGGGAGAACGCAGGCCCGCGAGGAGCAGGGCGGCGGCGTGGGCTGGGGGCGGCGGCTCTCGCTGCGTTTGCATGAGAAAAGGGAATGACATCACACCTCCTGCCTCTCACGTCGCCACGGCGACGGCGCTGTACACAGAGCCCCCGGCCCACCCCGACGCAGCCCGGGGGGGGCGGAGCTCCGGAACAGAAGGGAGAGGGGTGCAGGTACCGTGGGGGCAACGGAACAGACAGCCTGGGACCCTGCACGCCATCAGCAGATCTAGAAACAACCTCCGGGCGTCCCAGCACACAAAATTAACACAATCCGGTTCTGCGGCACAGCTCTCAGAGAGGCAGTCTGGATTGCGGGGCGCAGTGTTGGGGGTGGGGGGGGGTCCTAGCACTGCCACCTTTCGGCGCATAAACTCAGCGTCGGTTTGAGGTGAGCAGACACACCTGCGTCGTTAAGGACACAGAGACCGCAGGAGGGAATCAAGTCCTGGATCTCAGTTCCCGGGAAGCTGTCGGAGTGCATTATCAAGGACATATGCACAGCTCCTGGGAGAGGCTGCTCTCTTAAGGCCCAGCAGAACTAGAAGCAGTTGCCCCACTCCGCTGGGGAAGACCCGAGGTTCCGAGTGGGGTTCAGGGAAGTGGGCTGGGAAAAACCCCTGGAATCGCCGGGCGGGTCGGGACCACCGCCCGCATACGATCCGCCTTTAGGGGCCGAAACTCCTGTGTCACCCCGGAGAGAGAGAGGGAGATGCCCAGCGTCGGAGCACGCTGTCGCAAGACAAGCTGCAGGTCCGCAGCGCCGGGCGGGAGGGTCCCAGGCCATCGCCGGGACAACGAGCCAAGAGCCAGGTGACCGATGCCGACCTGGCTCCCCTTACAGAACCCCGGGGTCCGGACGCTCACCGGTGCCAGGCCGGGACACTCGTACACAGTGAAGTCCCCGTCCTCGTTCTCCTCGTCCGTCGTGGTGCCGGAGTCGGGAATCTTGGGCTCGTCTTTGTGCCTGAAGTCAGACGTCCCAGTGGACAGAGTCAGAGAGAGACAGAGACAGTGGAGGACACAGAGGCAGACAGAGCGGTGCCACCAGCGCCGACCCAACGAGAAAAACGCTCCCGGTCCTGAAACTGGGCCGTACTCACTTCTCCAGGGACAGCATCTGCTGCTTCTGGTGCTGGTAGTGGTACATCTGAGCACTCTGGGCCAGCTTCTTATCCCCGGGCTGCGCAGAGGAGCAGGAGAGAGGAGATTGAGCACGGCCGCGCCACGCCGCCTGAGCTTTACAAACGGCGCTCTTGGCGGGGTTGACCCGTGAGGGAAAACGGGCAGGGCGCTCACCGAGGTGCTGTCGAAGGAGCTGGGCCCCATCACCCCGAAGGCGGGGTAGTCCACCTTCTGGGCGAGCCGCACGTCCTTCTGCAACCTGCAGGGGGAGCACACATCAGCGCCCGCGCCACAGAGCGGCAGAGGCAGCACCAGGCGGGCTCACCACCCCCCTGTGCGTCGCCCTCGCTGCCTCGCTCGGCCGATCACCCCCCCCCGTCCCAGTCTGCGCCTGCACACTGCCCCAACTCCTCAGTGCACAAGCAAGAGCTACTGCACTCCCAGCAACCTTCTCCGTCAATGGCATCCGGGCGATTATCACGCTGCGAGTCACACTGCACACTACTAAGGCACTGTGTCCTCATCCCCATCCCATGACTGCCCTCCGTCCACGAGCCACGCCGCACACCGCCCCCCCCTGCACACATTCAACGCTGCCCTTGTAAACACGGACTCCCCGGCATTTGTCTGTCCCGGGCTCCGATCCAGGCCACCAGAGGTTCCAACCCAGGCTGTCCAGTAACGTGTCGAGGCTCCAATCCCCTGCTACTGCACAATCTGGTGACATCTGATACAGCAGGTTGTGCTGGAGAAGTCGGGGTGCCTTTCTGGGGGGGGAGGGGGTACAGCCATGTCCGCCCCTGGAATTTTAAACCCACAAACCCCTCCACTCATCCGGGAGCCCAGATCCGCTTCCCGGCTCTTTTACTTCTCTTTCCCCGAATCCCTCGGAGAATCCCCCCAGTCCAACACCCAGCTGTATAAAAGTGGCAGCCGAACGGATGACTAATAATGACGGGGGGGGTTGGGGGGGGACCCCCGGCTCACCTGATCCAGCAGACTCCCGCCACGATGAGGGCCGCGGTCCCCACGACGATGCACACCGCGATCATGACTGCGGAGCGGGACACGGAGGGAGAATGAGGAGGACGAGGCAGAGAGAGAGAGAGAGAGATATGAGAGCAGGGGCGGAGGAGAGAGGAAGAGAGGCGGAACCAACGGATCGACCGGCTTTGCGGGCGTCACGGCCCCCCCTCGCGGGCGCAACGCTGCCGGAAAAACTTCATTCCCATGGGCCATTATGCCGAAACTGGGTCGATTCCACGGCCGGCTTCTCACTGGACAACAGGACCCCACAGCGGCTAAGCGAGCGCGGAGAGTCAGCAGGGGGGGGCTTTGGGACGGGTGAAACAGGCCCGACTCCCTGAAACACAAGTGGGGCGCTCTTCCGCTCCGTGCCGACGGGTACGTACCGATGAGCAGGCTGTCGCTGCTGGGGTACGGGGACGTCACGGGCCCCCCCCGCCCAGCTGCCTGGGTGGGGGCGGCGCTGGGGGGCGAGGGGCTGGCTCGGGGGCGTCCCGTGGCGGAGTGGGGGGGGCCATGCTCCTGGGCCGGGTTGCTCTGCTTCGGGCCGGGCTGGGGCGAGGGGCCTGCGATGGACAGAGGCAGGGGGACGTGAAGAAGAGAGACTGGACGCTGCCGGACATTCTGAGCACACGGACACAGACACTGGACGCTGCCGGACATTCTGAGCACACGGACACGGACAGAGACAGAGAGACTGGACACTGCCGGACATTCTGAGCACACGGACACAGACAGACACTGAAGGACAGGCACAGTGGAGAGATGGGGAAGAGGAGGAGGCAGGCAGAAGGAAGGGGTGAGGAAGAGCTGGACCCAGGGGGCAGCACGGTGCAGTACCTGGCTTGCCGAGCTCCGCCTGCTGCTGCTTGGCAATGATGGACGACAGGTAGTCTATCTCTTCATCCAGCTCTGGGAGTGGAGTCTCCTTACCTGAGGGCGACACAGAGCTTTAAATCCTCTGCAGATGAACACACTAATACTGTGTGATAGAGGCAGGAAAAAAGGAAAAGAGACACAATGTTTTGGCTGCAGGGTACTTTAACTTTGCTTCTCTTTCCTTTCAGCATGCAGTGCATCGCAACCTCTTCCTTTGCAGCCCCTGCTCCAACTTCTCCGCACAGACGTGATGGGAGAGGCAGCGCCACAACTCACTCGTGCGTCTCTGTGTGAATATGGGGACCCGGCGCACGAGTAAGTGCCCGTTTGCGTGTCTGCAGGCTTGTGTGGAGTGGCATCACCGAGCATGTGTGTGTAAGAGCACGTTTGTGTGGAAAGAGGTCACTGTGTGTGTGTGTGTAAATCTCTGTGGAAAGAGGTCACTGTGTGTGTGTGTGTGTAAATCTCTGTGGAAAGAGGTCACTGTGTGTGTGTGTGTGTGTGTAAATCTCTGTGGAAAGAGGTCACTGTGTGTGTGTGTAAGTAAATCTCTGTGGAAAGAGGTCACTGTGCTTGCATGTGAGTGTGTGTTTGTGTGTAATGGGGTCGCTGTGTGTGTGTATATCTCTGTGGGGAAAAAGGTCACTGTACTTGCATGTGCGTGCGTGTTTGTGCGAGACGGGGTCGCTGTGCGTGCGTGCGGACTCCGCGGAGTCACTGCGAGAGCACGAGTCTGTGCCGCTGGGAAGAACAGAAGGGACAGACTGTAGAGCCCGTCGTCCCGACGGACGAGATACGGATGTTAACAGCAGAGGCCGCATTCCGGAGCCAGCACAGGCCCGGGCCTCTCCTAGCAACCAGGGGCTCGCAGTGCGTGTGTGGCAGAGCGACAGAGCACCGCGGGGGGGCACAGGATCAATAACCCTGCCCCCCACCTCCACAAACCCCTTTCCTCCCCCTAGACTGGAGGTAAACAGGGGCTCTGAGCTCCACCTGAGCAGCAGGGGTCACAGAGCCCTGGAGAGAGCAAACACACTGACTGTGGCCGGCCGCTAACTAGGACAGATGGAGCTCTGAATTGGGGTGGGAGGGACAGCTATTAATTGCCCTTCTGAAACTACCCCCCCTGCTGATGTACAATGGTGTGTATGGTGGGGGGGGGTGGGGGAACTTATAGTCACCTGGTTTGGCAGCAACACTGCTGCACATCTGCAGGAAGCTGTAAAGAAATTTGCTCGGGACAAACTACACGTCTATCAGAGACTCCGAGTTCCTTTTCCTTGGCAGACTCGGCTCCCATGTTCTGAGAGCCATTGTGAAGGCCAATCCAGCAAGCGTTAAGGATAAGAAAAACCCCAGCATATCACCCGGAACACAGGAATGTGTGAAATAACACGCACACAAGTATACGCCCAAGTACTCTGATCGACGTCTGGACCGGCTCGTCTCGGGCAGCCTCTGCCCCCAGTAACTCAGTTCCTGGCTAGTCCCATTTCTAAGCAAGAAGTGTAGCCCTCTCCAGCAGTGCAGTGCGCGTGTCTGTGTTTGTCTGCGTGTCTCTGTGTCTGCGTGCAGCAGGCCTGTCTGCGTGTCTCTTGCTGCAGCAGCACCTAGACGAAAACTGTCTGCGTGTCTGCAAGCGTGTCTCCATGTCTATGTGCTCCCCCCACAAGACTCCGTGACATGAGTGACTGGAGAGCTGTGGGGTCCCTTCAGAACCACCAGGGGGTCCCATCGTCTCGGCGTAATTGTTCATGGCCAGTGCCCCAGGCTCAGAGGAGGTGCTAATGACAGAGTTGTGTTTGCAAAACCTGTAGTTCCGCAGCTAGAGGAGACTCAAACACGTGCAGATCCATACTTCTGCGGACCTTCCCACTGACTCTATAATCTGCGACAAGGGGTCAAAACACAACCATGCAAAAGAGCTTGGGTGCTTTTAGACTAAAAAATAAAGATCAGCTGGTTTAGAAAAAATACAGTTCAAGAGGGTTTACTTTAGAAAAAATAAACTCCTTCCCAGAATTCGTATCCACATTGACTGTAATATCTGCACCCACTTACACAGCCTCTAAATGCAAGGCAGTCATGCCAAGTACAAATTTACAAAACATTGTATACTTTAAATCTCGAGAAAAAACACATACTGGCGTGTGTTTATGTGAATCACAGAGAAAACAAAATCCTGCTAAGCCGTCACACAGCTACCAGCTATCAGGAGAATGCTCTGCATGCAGCTGTCTCAATAGAAGTGTTGCTTTTATCATCATACATATTTAGCTCTTTGCCTGGATAATTGAATTCTGTGACACAGCAACTAATGCCAAGACAGTGCTGCCCTCCTGTGGCCACTTTCGAGAAAACAGATGACATTAGCGCTCACTGACCAGAGCAAGCAACATGCGTTCTCAGGTGCTTCATTGCACTCTGGGTTTAAGCAGTTGCAGGTTCTGCACCTGGGTGCTAAATATCTGAGGTTCCTCATTGCTGAGCAAACTGGCATAGAATATGTGCATGGTTAAAAGTGATACTACCTGAAATGATTTGCTGCCTCTTCAATACAAATCCCAGCATCGGGTTAATTCTGAAATGGATTGCCAGTGCTCTGCAACAGGAGCCTGTTTCCACTCTGCCCAATGTTATATTAATGACAAAATGAGGAACAAGTAAGAGCTTTATTCCATGCTGAAAAGAGAAGACACAGCTCCCCACCTGAACTACTTCATGTCAAATAGCCTTCACAGGCTGTCCTCTTCTTCCAGAGTCTTTAACCCCAACCGCAATGTCTAATCACAATCCCTCATGAACCTGGCTCAGCGTGGGGGTGTGGGAACACCTGTCTTGACGTTTTCACTAAATCCGAGCTTAATTGAAACCAAGAATGGGCTCAATTCAACTTTTTATCTTCCTTTCCAGCTGCTTCACAAGACAACCTCATCTTCCAATACCGAACTACTCCAGAGAGAGGCGCACCTAGCGTTTATAGGCAGCTTCAATCAACTTGAGCTTAATTGGTCCAATTAAGCAATTAAGAGCTAGGCTAAACTAAACCAGGAGAGAGACACTTCAGGATCTACCTCAGTAGGAGCCCAGGTCTTTCACCAACCTTTCTCTTCCCAAGTCACACTAATGCCTGTATTTTCTGACTGTTCTGAGCATGACTATGAGGAGTGGAGAGCGTTTCAGATTCAATCAGAGCTGCTGACCTACATCACATTCTTGCAGGCGTCTGAAGGAGAGAGGGGAAGAGCTCGGCTCTCAAACACAGATGGTCACCGGGAAACAAGATCGTGTTCTGGCACAACGACAGGTGGAGCAGGGATTAGCGACAAAACTGTCCTCGTTGTGGCTGTTTTTCTTCTAAAAAGACATGCTGACAAGATCACAAACAACGCCCACCTCAAACAGAAAGAGCAGGCTTAAAAAAAAACAACTAAATAAGA